TCAAATTTTGTCTTTAGAGCCTTCATTCAACATTGTCACCATACAATTCCTAACTTCTTAAAAGAAAAAAAAATAACAGCTTTCAGTACTACACGCAACACTTAAATTTCCAAGGTATGGTGAGGATCAAAATGAGATTTACAGGAACCCTTTCTTCTGTGAACTTCTAGTCAAATCAAATAGTAATTAAGGAGGGTAAATTTTTGCCTTCATTTCCTGTGTTAATGGGGATAGCATAATTTCCATCAGCATCTTGGTGCGAAATCCAGAGAGACAAATTCCTTATCAATCACCTTTAAGAAGCAAATGGAAGGGGAGTATTAACAAAAACCCAAGCGTTACAAATCAAGGTCAGTAAAGAAGGATTGTGGACTCCTATCCGAGCTTCCTGCTGAAAACACTAAATTGTGCTTCAATTTTAAGCCATCTACATTTTAAACGAGATACTATTTAAATGATTCCATAGAGAGCAAGAAATGATGAGTCAAAATACTGATATACTGGAATTAATTATAAGCTTAAAGAGAGTAGGGGCTAATAGGGAGAGTCTAGTAACCATAATTTTTTCAAGTGATTGTGAATTACCGACATCAAAATAAAAATAAAAATAAAATAGAGTAGGGGCTGTGTTCTTCATTTCTTTATATTCTAAACACCTAGTATATAATGCTACTCAAACATACCAACAAAGTAGTCACTCTAAAACGGTTTCAAAATAAACTGGTATAAGATTGAAGGAGATTAAAAAATTAATTAAATTGACTTGGAAGGTGCACAAAGAAACTTTCCGTAGTGATGATAACAGTCTATATCTTGACAGGCTTATAGACTTGCACAAATGTATGAACTTGTCCAAAATAAGGGAATGGTATATACAAGATTTATGGATTTTAGTGTATATCAATTTTTCCTATAAAACAAGTAAACAAGTAGTTCATGATAGGCATATTGATGTGTTTAGGGTAAAGTATACTTTGAAATACAAAAATATAAGATCGACTGATGAATGTATAAAGGAAGAGAAGGGTAGGGTAGGATGGATGGATAGATAAGCAAATATAGCAAAATATGAATTACAGAATCTTATAACAGTAGGTTAAGTATTCAATGTACAAAACAATTCTTCTAACTTTTCTATGACTGAAATTTGTCATGATAAAATGTTAGGACAAGAAAGCAAAGCTGAAATGAAGGCTCTGTGAGCGGCTTACATGTTTCAGAAGTTTGTCAATTAAAGGAATGGCCTTAGATAAGAAAAAGGTTTATACATGCCTCTGAGAGTGGGATATCTGGCTTTTCCCTCTTCTACCTCTAATTTTAGACTATGTACAGACTAGTTATGGCCTTCAGCACTTGTTCTTGCCTCAGAGAAAGTGGGTGGTCACTCACTAACTTCCATTCAGTCTAGGACAATCCAAAACCATGGAGGACAGTCTAAACCCTTTGTCTGCCTTGGGCTACAATAATCTGTTCTCTGTTCTTTTTTACCTAAATTTCTAATACCTCTTTAAACCAACCTTTAGATGAGACTTCTGGTCAATCTGGCATAACATAAATAGTTTACTCTCTTGGTACAATTCTGGCCCCCCAGACCCGTAGCCCTCCTGGCAAGGAAATATTAAAATAAGGTGAGGGACCTTGAAGCAAGGACAAGCAAGGACCATGGCCTGAAACAAGTCACAGTCTCTGGCTGAGTACCTGGCATATACTAAAAAAATATTGGATAATGAGACCCATGCTTGATAATAATATGAATAACCACACATACTTAACACTTAGTTTCACATTCATACCTACACTGTGCTGAGTGGTGAGGGTAGATTTGTGCTAGGATTCTGAAGTTGAATATTTAAAAGGAAAGATCTGGAACCTCTTCTGTGGAGAGCTAACAAGATAGCGTTGGAAATGCAAGGTAGTTAACTCTTTCATCTAACATTAAGAAACACCTACATTTTAATCATTAATGCGTTCTTAGATAATACAATTATGTTCACCAGCTTCAAAATAATGTAAGCATGAACTAAAGTGGAGAATATAAATTATGCAAAGATAAGAACTGACAGGAATTCAATTTCCAGATGACCTAAATGCACTTGGAGTTAATCTGCTCTTTTTCGTAGCTTTTGCTTCCAAAACACTGCAGATTATGCACTTGCTGAATTCTGCCTTTGTCACACATGACCTAACAAGGAAGGCATTCATTATACCATAGTAGCTTCCCTCAAGTATGTGGTTCTAAACAGCTGCAAATTTTGGAAGATAACACTAAATGAATGATGTCTCTAATGATTAGTATATTCTCTACCCAACAAATATTAAAACATGATTAAGGTTTACAAAACTGTCCAAATTAAGCTGGCTGAACATAAATTAAACCATAGACAATACAGATTTGCTTAAGAACATATATTCTACGTATATGAATAATTGAGCCAATAAAACATATCATAAAGAACTTCTAAAATAGAGCATTTTCATTTTTCATATTTGCTTTTATCTGTCAGAAAGATATCATATCACTAGTGACTGGTTTATTTAGTCCCTTCAAATGCTGTAACTGGATAAAATGACAAAATATTTTAAAATAATAATAAACCCAATCACAAATAAATTTCTATTGGTAATAAGTAAAAGCTTCTTCTTAAACCCAAAACTGCGTGAAAAACATCCTGCCAAAAGTAGAAACTGTAAAAATGTTTCAGAATAGTCATGGCTTGTTAGTTATACAACTATACACATAAGCTGGCTTTTTTATACCCGTCATTGTTCCTCAGTCACATCAAAATACACTAAGATATTTATTCTTGACCTGTTTTATCCGTTTCCATATGGAAAAGTAAAAATTTCCTAAGTGCCAAACACAAAGGGGAGGAGGAATGCACCACCAAGGAGCTATTTTATCATTTATGTGTTCCAACTCACATTTACTTTGACTTTCATCCCTTCCCACTTAAAACACTAGTACCCTTAATCTATCTGAAACCATGTAGTCTGCCCCAGAAAGGCTACTTGAAAGACATATGCAAGTGTCCTTCTTGTATCTCCTTCAATTTCATTACATAATATCTTGCCGTGATCCTTTCATCTACAGAGTAGGTTGATTAACAATTATCAATATCAACAGTTTTCCTTTTAATTCAGTACCAATCAGTCTTGAGGATCCAAAGGCTCAAATTTTGTCTTTAGAGCCTTCATTCAACATTGTCACCATACAATTCCTAACTTCTTAAAAGAAAAAAAAATAACAGCTTTCAGTACTACACGCAACACTTAAATTTCCAAGGTATGGTGAGGATCAAAATGAGATTTACAGGAACCCTTTCTTCTGTGAACTTCTAGTCAAATCAAATAGTAATTAAGGAGGGTAAATTTTTGCCTTCATTTCCTGTGTTAATGGGGATAGCATAATTTCCATCAGCATCTTGGTGCGAAATCCAGAGAGACAAATTCCTTATCAATCACCTTTAAGAAGCAAATGGAAGGGGAGTATTAACAAAAACCCAAACGTTACAAATCAAGGTCAGTAAAGAAGGATTGTGGACTCCTATCCGAGCTTCCTGCTGAAAACACTAAATTGTGCTTCAATTTTAAGCCATCTACATTTTAAACGAGATACTATTTAAATGATTCCATAGAGAGCAAGAAATGATGAGTCAAAATACTGATATACTGGAATACTTGAAGAGAATCAGTAACGGCAAATGATTAGCTTCTCTTCTAGCTTGATCCCTTTTTTTGGGGGGGGGTTTGTTTATTTAACAGTTTTATTGAGATGTAGTAATTCACACACCACACATCACACACTTCACCCTTTTACACTGTACAATTCAGTGGCTTTTAGTATAATCAGAGTTGTGCAGTCATCACAACCAATGACGAGTATCCTTTAAACAATTATTTGCTTTTAGATAATTTATTTATTTGTTTTTTGAGAGGGCATCTCTCATATTTATTGATCAAATGGTTGTTAACAACAATAAAATTCTGTATAGGGGACTCAATGCACAATCATTAATCAACCCCATAGCTTGATCCCTTTTGAAAGCTTTGGAAAAAAACAATATTCACAGACAGGGCACATTTAAAACTTTTTGTACCATATTTGAAAATCCTACAAAAATTCTAGTTATATGTCCAGACAAGCAGTCCTGGAATACATTGTTATGTTGTCATAGCCCAGTTTTTAAGGAGGCATGAAAAAAGGTTGATTGCTGAGCTATAGGAAACCCTCGATTATCCATGGTAGCACAGCAAATGGATAACTTGGATAAAATAGTCCTCAAGTTATTATTACTTAAGAAGAATATTGGATTAATTCAAACCTTCCTTCCCCTCAACTCCCCTTTAAAACAGAAAACGTTCATTTAAGATGCGTCTACCTCTTCCTGGCTACTCCAACAAAAACATTAACAAGCAAATATATGATCTCAAAATTGTCTATCAAAAAGAATAAGGCAAACTGAATTATCAGTACTCAAACTGGTTCTGTTTTTTTCCGATAAAAAACCATGAAACTATGACTTTGGCTTCCTGAAAGGCTTTTACATTTAAAAAGTCTAACACTCCCCCCCGCCCTGAAACACCTACTGATCTCAGATTTTTCTCAATCAGATACGTCTTATGCTAACTATACTAACAATGCTTGTATGAAATGAAGTTACTTGACAACTATTACACTCAAACTGTAAAATGCTGATATCGAACAACTTTCTATTCAAATCCGCTGCGATTCCCGGCGTTGATAAAAGACAACTTCCTTTCCTCCCCTCCGCGTCCTCCCCGCCCTTCCGCGCGCCAAGGTCCCCGCCGGGGTCTGCAATTACATCACAGTCCATCTCCAGAAAACCCCTGACGTCAAGACACGCGGATCCACAGCACTATGACTTCATCGCGGGCTGGGGCCCGAACCAGCACTAGACTTGGGCCAGCCAGGGGGCGAAAGAAGCCTCCACATCTAAGTACTGCTTGGTCCCCGAGGTTAAAGACAGGCGTCAGCTCACCTGCGCTGCAAAAGGGAGGGACGCGGGGGCCGGAACCAGGCGGACACACCGGAGAGACGACCCCCACCCAGGGCCCGACTTGCCCACAAGAGAGGGCTGGCCCAGTGTCTCCTCACGGCCAATCCGCGATCTCTCGGCTGGAGCCCGGACCCGAGACCCGGGACCCGGCGCCCGCCTGCCCCTCCGTGGCCCAAGAGGCAGCGCCGCGCCCGACCCGTGAGCGGGCGGAGGCCGGCCAGGAAGAGGTTCGGGCCGCCGGCTCCCTGAGCCAGCCAGCGCCGCAAGCCCCGCACCCGCAGGCGGCGCCCCCGCTTCCACCCGCCCCGCGCCCCGGGAGCGCCGGCGGGAGGCGGGAGGGGGCGGGGAGCGGCCACGGTGGCCGCCACCGGACCCCGACCGCGCTGCCGCACGCCACGCCCCGCTGCGGCCCCGACCTACCTGCGCTCCGCCCCGGCCGGGGCCTGGCCCGGATCTGCACACCCCGACGCGGCGGCGGCGGGGAGGCCTGTCTAGCTCCCCACCGCTGAGTCGGATCGAGAGCGCGGCGCGGCGGAGCCCAACGCTCGCCCCGACACCCGTTTGTTTGGCTAAACGGCGTGACGTCACGCGCCGGCCCAATCGACGGTTGGCCAGGGGAGGGGCCAGGGGGTGCCGCGCCCCCTGCCGGGCATTCCGCGGTACTCGGGCGCTGGGGACGCGAAGTGTGGGGGACTTAAAAAGGGTGAAGCATCTTTGGTCCCTCAAGTGGTGAAGAGTGAAAGCTCGAGCGCAACCTGTAAGGAAAGAAAGCAAACCCCCAGGCTAGTAAAAATAGTAGTAATGCCCATGCCCCAATAGCCATGACAAGTTTATTAACACTCGTGGGTAGATCTGGAGCTACAAATTAGATGCTATTAGATATCCTAATAGACTTGCGTTCCAACCTTGGTTCTGCTACTAGCTTGGGAGCTCTCTATAAAGTGAAGGGCTTGAGAGACTCACTTCTGTCGTTTTCTATGCATATCATGGCAGAAATACCTACCAGCACGTGGATAAACTTTGAGATTGACAATCTCGAACTATGGTCTACAGAAATTTAAGGAATTGTAAATGATGAATATAGAAGAGACTTTTAATACTTCAATAAGTTAACACTTTTAAGTCTTAGTGCCAGTGAGGAATCTTTTTATATGCCTTTAAAATGATAAATGAGTTCAGTGTAAAAATAATTTTAACCACATCATAAAACATGAGGACAATAAAAGAAAAAAATCCTTCACCCAAACACAGGCTCTCTCAGTATTTGTTCTATTTTAGACCTTTTGTCCCACGCATATTTAGTATATTGTGATCATAGTGTGCATACAATTTTGAATCCTATTTTTCCACGTTTATAAGTATTTTTCATATTTCTACATAAGCTACATAAGTATTTTAACACCTGCATAAAATTATATTAAGTGGACATAGAAAATTTACTGAATTCTTTATTCTTGGACAGTACTTATTTCCATCTCTTAGCCATTATAAAGAAATCATAGAACATTTTAATTAATGTAGATTTCTAAAGATAAATACCCAGAAATGGAATTACTAGGTGGAGTATCAACATTTTTATAGTTACTAATATATAGAACTGCCAAAAATGATTTTTAAAAGGTTGTACCAAGTCTCACTTAAATCAGCTTTGATTTTAATCAATCCTTTAAAAACTAGTTTTGTCCAGTTATAAAATGACTCTTGTACAATATGTGTATAAAACCTTAAATATCAAAAAGTACAAAAAAGAAAGAAAAAATTTTTCCTATAATCTCACCACTAAGAATTAAACACTTAACATCTTCATCTAGATCTTTGTGTATATATTTTTAATAAAAACTGGGAAGGGGGTCATATTGTATATATTAGTATCAAACTAGGTCTTATTTAATATATCAGCTCAATATATCATGATCATTTGAAACTTCTTTTGTCATATTTCACTCAAAGTTCTAAAACTTCAATCCATCCTTTCAGATTCACCTCAAGTACTATCCTACTTAAAACCTCTTGATTTTTTAGAGGAATTAAAATATTGATTACTCTATTTTCTTCTTCCTTTGTGGCCCTTATTTTACACTACACACATCATCCATGTGTGTATTTAAAAGCCCCTGATAGATTCTAAACTGCAGAAGAACAAGGATTATATTATAGTATCCACAAGGGTCTTGTACTTGATATTGCTTAAATGTTTAATGAATAATTATAACCATGTTAATCTGCACTTTTCTCAGGATGGTAAATGAGTGAAATCTCCCTTTTATAATAATGTTTACTGTAGTTCAATAATATACAACATTTGTTGCATTTACCTTGTTTGATCCAGATGCTGTGCTGTGATTTACATACATTGTTTCATTCAATCAGAAAAATACCTCAATAAAAGGAGAAAAAGATGGCAAAGTAGGAAGGCAAGGTAGAAACTGCCTCCCCAAAACACATAAAACATGAAAATACAGCAAATACAACTAAACCTGAAAATGACCTGAAGACTGCAGAACAGACTACCTACCTATACCTGGGGAAGAAGAGAAGGCCTCACAGAAAAGGAAAAAGTAGCAAAGCCGATTGAGTGGGACCCAAACCCTCCCCACACCCCAGCCCACAGGTGGGAGAAAAAGGAATGGAGCGCAGAGTGGATAAGAGTCCAGGATCGCTGAACATCTGGCCCTGGAGTTCTGCTCCGAGAGCCAAAGTCCACGTTACATGGTATTCTGGTGATTTGCAGAGCTGGACAACAGACAGGTAGAGCATTCAGGGAGGCTGAGATCAGCCACTGGTGAACAGACAAGCTCCACTTGTCCCCCTGAGACAAAAGAAGCAGTTTGAAAGACTTCCCAGCAGTGGGAGGGGTGTTAAATGGAACTCTCTCCTCAGGCCCCAGACTGCCCTCAGCCCCACAGGTCAGGAACTCTAGGGAGCCCCAGACGCTCCATACCCTCCATACCCCCTTGCTGGCAATGCAGCCCCAAGGTTCCTCCCTGCGCACATGGCCAGCAGACAACCCAGTTGGCATGGCAGTAGTGTCAGATTTTGCTTCTGAGTAGGCAGAGGGAGACCCTCCCAGCTTTCTTGGCTCTGTTTCAGCACAACTGGGGAGGTATCTGCAGAAGGCAGCCCCAAGGGCTCTTTCCTCCCCACAGGCGCCAGGTACTATGAGCTGGGTTTGGGCAAAGCCACACAATAGCCCAACTACTCCCATTAACCCTGCCATTGCTGCAGACCAGGCACTGCTATGTTGTCCACCCACAAGAACTCCAACACAAAGGCTCAGCCAAAGCAAACTGCCTGCCTAGGATCAGACCTTTACAAGCCAGACAGAAAGGCAGCCCCAACCAAAGCATGCCAACACCTGGGGCTCCCATACTGGGAAGTAAAAAGTCTTGAGCAACTGAGCAATAGACAGCACCTCCTTTATAAACCTATTAATCCATAGGAAGAAACAAAGAAACTCAGACAAAATGAGAAAGCAGAGGAGTATGTTCCAAACAAAACTCTAAGACAAAACACCAGAAAGAGGGCTGAATGAAACAGAAATCACCAAGAAAGAGGGCTAAATGAAACAGAAATCACCAACATTCTTGATAAAGAAAGATCAGAGCAGAAATAAATAAAATACAGAAGAATAAGACAATAGGAAGAAATAAATGAAACCAAGAGCTAGTTCTTAGACAAAGTAAACAAAATAGATAAGCCCATAGCCAGACTTACCAAGAAAAAGAGAGTACACAAACAAAATCAGAAAGAAGGCATAGTCCCAAAAGATACCACAGAAATACAAAGAATTATTAGAGAATATTATGAAAAATTATATGCAAATGAATTGGACAACCTAGAAGAAATGGACAAATTCCTAGAAAAATACAACCTTCCAAGAATGTACCAAGAAGAAACAGAAAATCTGAACAGAGCGGTGACCAGCAATGAAATCAAACTGGCAATTAAAAACTATCTAAAAACAAACCCAAGGTCCAGATGGCTTCACACCTAAATCTTACCAACATTTAACGAAGAGCTAATACCCATCCTCCTTAAAGTATTCCAAAAAATAGAAGAAGAAGGAATACTTCCAAACTCATTCTATGAAGACAGCATCACTCTGATACCAAAGCCAGGCAAAGACACCACAAAAAAAGAAAATTGCAGACCAATATCCCTGATGAGCAAAGATAAAAAATACTCAACAAAATATAGGAAACTGAATTAAAAAACACATAAAAGAACATACATCTTGACCAAGTGGGATTTATCACAGGGTTGCAAGAATGATACAGTATTCATAAAACCACGAATATCATACTTCACATTAACAAAAAGGACAAATCACATGATCATCTCAATACATGCTGAAAAAGTATTTGACAAAATTTAACATCCATTCATGATAAAAACGCTTAACAAAATGGGTATAGAGGGTATGTACCTCAATATAATGAAGGCCACATAAAACAAACCCACAGCCAACATCATACTTTAACAGTGAAAAGCTGAAAGCTTTTCCTCTAAGATGGGGAACAAGACAATGATGCCCACTTACCACTTTTATTCAGCATAGTACTGGAGGTCCTAGCAACAGCAATCAGGCAACACAAAGGGATAAAAGGCATCCAGGTTGGTAAGGAAGAAATTAAACTGTCACTATTTGCAGATGGCATGATACTATACATAGAAAACCCTAGACTCCATGAAAAAACTATTACAACTAATAACTGAATCCATCAAAGTTGCAAGATACAGCGTTAATACACAGAAATCTGTTATATTCCTACATCCTAATGATGAACTAGCAGAAAGAGAAATCAGGAAAATGATTCCATTTACAAACTGCATCAAAAAGAGTAAAATACATAGGAATAAACATAACCAAGAAGGTGAAAGACCTTAACTCTGAAAACTATAAGATACTCATGAGAGAAAGAAAATGCCAATAAATGGAACTTTATTCCATGCTCATGGATAGGAAGAATTAATATTGTCAAAATGACCATCCTGCCTAAAGCAATTTACAGATTCAATGCAATCCCTATCAAAATATCAACAGCATTCTTCAATGAACTAGAACAAATAGTTCTAAAATTCATATGGGAAAGCAAAAGACACCAAATACCCAAAGCAATCCTGAGAAAGAAGAACAAAGTTGGGGGGATTATGCTCCCTGACTTCAAGCTCTACTACAAAGCCATAAAAATCAAAACACTTTGGTACTTGCACAAGAGTAGACCATTAGATCAATGGAGCAGAATAGAGAGCCCAGATATAAACTTACACATATATGGTCAATTAATATACAATAAAGGAGCATGAATATACAATAGGGAAAAGACAACC